AGACAGAGAGGAAGAGTGCTGCTGAAATCACTTGTCCAGAAGAGACTTCGGAAACAAACACGCCATGGAGGCTGGAGCGAGAGGGATGCACTGGAAACTTTTGATACTTTCTTGTCTTTTGGCGGACGGGATGAGCCAAGACTTTGGACAGACCCAGTTCATTTGCACGTCCGTGCCCAAGGATATGGACATATGCGCCGCCACACTGCAGAACAGCGTGCCCGGGGAGGATCTCAAGAGCACGGTCATGCAGCTGAGAGAGACGGTGCTGCAACAGAAGGAAACAATCATGAACCAGAAGGAAACCATCAGGGAACTGACTTCCAAGCTGACAAGGTGCGAAAGTCAGAGCGCGCCCGAGCCCGGAGACGCGAGGGGCGGCGGCGGCGGCGGCGGACGACGGAAGGAAATGGGCACTAAGAACACAATGGGAGATGTGTCGAGGGGTCCGACGGACACACTGGCTCAACTCTCGCGGACTTTACAGTCACTCAAGCAGAGGCTGGAAAACCTGGAGGTATGTTTGTTGTCCTGGAGCGGTTTCTTCCATGTCGGAAACAGTGGATTTATTTGAGAACGCAGATGGAACTGTGTTGTGATTCTCACAACTTTATCTTACTTTAGAATACATCAGCTCACAAATTGGTGCCAAACAGTGGCGCATAATCCTCTTTGAAAGACGCATTACTCGACAGAAAACCGCAGATTGAAATAAAATAGATACGTAATAATATAACTATTGCGAATCTTCAATACCATTGATTTGGCCGTTCTTAAACTGAACATTTAGTCGTATTTTAACTTGTTTTGTGTTGTTTTTTGTTAATGCACATCATAACGCATTTAATTGTTATGCATGTAATAATAGTAATAATAATAATAACAACTTCTAGATTTTGACATGTCAATTTAATTTAGTGATGTTTATTAATATGACATAATATTTGACTTAAGTATATGTAATTTAAATTATTTGGATATGAAATGCATTTTACTCATAGCAGCAGTGTACTTCTTTAACAGTGACCGAAGCGTTTCTCTCACAAATAGATGTTCTCATCTTTCTTTAGCAATTCAGCCGGAATAACAACTCCGTCCAGGCGAACAGCTTGAAGGATCTTCTGCAGAACAAAATCGACGACCTGGAGAAGCAGGTCCTGTCCCGTGTGAACGGTTTGGAGGAAGGAAAGCCCGGGCTGCGCAACGAAAGCGAGCAGCGCGGGCGCGTCGACTCCTCTCTCACCTCACTGCACCAGAGAATAACCGATTTAGAGAAAGGTAACCATTCGCATTTCTGCTCCACCTATCACACATACATGTTGTGTAGATGCATTTCATGACCTGTCTTTCTACGTGGGAAATATTCTTGGAGATGCCAGCGTGGGTAATAAATTGCCGTAGTGTCGCTGGTGTGTCGCAGGAGAGGAGGGGGTCCACAGAGCTGCATTGCTTTGCATATCCAATTCCACCAGCCAGCTTTACAGCATGATTTACAGATCGGAACCAGAGAGTTTTTGCAAGCTCATGCATTTTGTGAATTTCCATTCATGTGAATCACGTTTTTCTCAGTCATTAAAATGCTTAATGTCCCACCGCCTTTTAAAAGGCATTAATAGGATAGGGATTTTCATCATT